TTAGCATGATAAAATGTACGTACCGAATTGAAAAGCATTAACTTGAATTTTCTACAAAAAATAACAAGTAGTTTTTCTTCGTTTTCTTCTTCTTCTGCTTGGGATTGGCTTGTCCAGCACTCTCGCTACCTTTTTGGAAGATGTCCCGAACGACGATGACCTTGTGTTTTACTTTATGTCGGCACTTCTGACTCGATCTCCGAGGATTTTGCTAGTTATTTGCCGTGAGGTTTTTGTTTCTGTGGTTGCTTGAAATATCTGCTATTTTGTAGATGATGTTTTGTCCGCCTCAACTTTGATTTCAAACTTTCAATTTCTGTATATGATGTAATATTGATACCAAGGCACTTAAAATAAATTATTTGCTCAATCGGTTTGTCATATGAACTACTAGTTTGCACCGTAATGATGTTTTAGAAACTGTCATTCACTTTGTTTTTTCCGTTGCAATCTGCGCATATAATAAGACCCTTCTGCGTTGGTGAAGGCAAATGGGAGTCTCTGGATATCGTCTTCATTCTCTTCCATAATAACAGCGTCATCTGCATAACATGGTATTTTTTGAATAAAATTAAAAATATTCTTTTTAATTTAAATGGCAATCAATTGCTTCCGATGATTTTTGAGTATTTAATTCCCTAAATTTTAGTATGATACTCGTATGTGTATAATCGGAAACTGTTACCATGGACGCTGTCTAGGTGTATTTTCTTAGAATTATTTATTGGTTTACATAACTCTGTTAAATATTTAATAAGATAACCTGATTTTAATTATACTTTCATTCACAATTAAATTATTTCTTAATAGTAGTCTATAATTCTTTATTGAAGGTATAGCTTTTATTCATTATTCTACTGTAATAAAAAAAATTTTTACTTGAAAACTTGAAAACAATTTGAATTCTTTTGAAAACTTAATCCTGACTTGCTTAATAGAAAGAAGAGAAAATTTATTTTTCAAATAGAATTATTTTTCTTATACATATTATATGTGTGTGTATCTCTGAATGAATTCTTAAGAATTGAATTTGATTACTTCTTAAAGTAAAAAAAAGTTCAACAAAAGACCATTTTATTACAAAATGTAAGAAATCTTACAAGGATTTTCGTTTTTATCTTAAATGTCAATAAGAGAAGATGAACTTTTTAGTTTAGTCTATTATTTTGGTAAAATTCATTTATTGACATATTTACATATGCATGTATTCCTCATGTATAACAAATGTGTACATATACATATTTATATTGTAACTGTGAATCAAAGTTAATATGAGAAGTTGTTTGTAATGGAATTGTATAGAAGTTCTCTTAAAAAGCTATATGAAAACAATTTAGTTAATTTAATGTTTAGAAAACATAATTTGAATAAAATTTTGAATTAGAATGTGTTATAAAAGAAAATAAATTTTAGGGTCATTAAAAAAAAGAGCAAAATGATTAGCATTATTCATAGTTCAAAGTGCAAATAAATGAATAATTTGACAATGAATAAGAAAATTTCAAGTTGTTGCTCATAACACAAGAAGTAAATGCTATAATTGATTTAAGGTATTCGCTCTATAGTGTAATAGAAATTGTTGGGAGATTAAAATGGGCATGTGTCCGGTATTTATTTTCTCTAGAAGGCGTTATTCTGCGGAGGTAAAGTTTGATTATAGATAAATTCTGAAAAAGATTGATCAAATTTGTGAATTAAGTAGGATTTTAGGCTCGATTAAGGCTCCTCTCAATTTGATGGTTAATGGTGCGAATTACACTCTAAGTTTTGTCATGCAGTGCAGTAGGGAATTTAATAATGCCTTTATGGCTAATAATTCTTCATGTTGTTTTTGTGGGGCCCGTTTTAGAGTAGCCAGGTCTGGTCAGATCCCTGCAGTGTTTATATATGCAGGTCGTACAGAGGCGTTTCCTTCATTTTAGTTTTCGTTGTACGGATTATTCGGATCCATTTAGACTGCCTCCTTATGAGAGTGGGCTTCAGTCTTTGTGCTAAAGGTAGCTAAATTGTTCTAAGGTGGTTTTATTGTTTCGAAATACAGAGAAATAATCAAAGTATAATCTTAGTTACTTATAAGGTCGGTGGAGCTTTTCAATGTTCCGCGTCATAGTACGGATTACGGAATGCATGAATTAATGAAACGTTTATTACGCGAAATTAATTTGCGATCGTGTGTTTTTTATACGAACATAAGTAAGATGGTATTTAAGGCCGAACTATACAGTAGTAGCATTGATTTTGTTTAATTTATTCTTTGTTTGTATGACATTTTCCATTTACTCGCCTTGCATTAGTTGTACACGTTTGGGTTTGGTTGTTTAAATTTTCAATTTATTTATTAATATTAAATTTATACTGCTGATATTATTTTTCCTCCACGTTTCTCTTTACCTTCCGTTTCTAACTTTAAATGATGACGATTTTAGTTATAGTTACTGATAGCCACATTTGTTGGCTAAGTGTTAAGCAATCGTCTGAAATAAGTAAATTAAAAATATTTGACCCTTGACTTTTAAAGTTTTTTATTTATGCTTTTTTTTTATTTTTTTTTTTACTCTTAAAAATTTCTACTTAATATTAAATTTTTGTTTCGATAATTTTTTTTTCTTCAAATTTTCTTAAATATTTAAATTATTAAATAAAAATTTTTTTCTTTAAATAATAACAAATCATCTAATTAATTATATTAAAAAAAAAATTCAATTAAATTATTTTTAAATATTAAAACCCTAACCTATTTATTTGTAAAATATTTTTTAAAAATAATTATTAAATAAAACTAATGAAGTCTAACAATTTTATAGTCTTTAATATTCGACTACAATTTCATAAATAAAATGAAAAATTATAAAATATATTTTTAATTTTCTGTTCGATATTTTTATTATAAAACTTTTATACCCACAATCAAATAAATAATTTTTTTAGAATGTGATCATTTATATACAAAACATTAAAATTTTCTTATTTTTTAAAATTTATAGCTTTATTTATTTCGATTTCTTGTGAAGTTAATTGTATACTTTTGATAAGCTTTAATATTCCTGGATGGATTACGCCAGACCCCAAAAATTTTTAAATTTTGTTTACTACAGCATTTGAGCAATTTTAACATTTGATCAGAATTTGATCAGAAAATGTATAATTTGAGTTTAATTCGGATGTTAGAACTCAATAATGGAATTTAAAACTATTAACAACTTAATTAAGAGAATTGTTCATCTTGATTAAGAGAATTGAATTGAACAATTTTAATTTTGTGATATGCGAGAGTCTTTTAATAATAATTAAGAAATGCATAAATTTTTGCAAATCCATTTGCAAAATTTTATTTCTTAATTGAATTTTAAATATTTTTTTAATTTTTTACACTCTGGGGACTACAAATAATTTAAATGCCATTTATTATTAAATTTTGTAAAATTACGAATGCGATTATATTTCACAATATTTTCTAATTACATACAATCAATAAAATAATTATATGATAATTTATTAACAAAAGCATTAAATTTATTGTTAGTCCTAGTGCTATTTTTCTGAATTAGTTTGTGTTAAAGTGCAACTAACAACAATAAACCAGAAATATAATCTAAAATTATGAAAATTACAAAATTTTTAAATATAATTTAATAATTTTTCCAAAATATTGAAAGGATTATTCTCTAGATACACACATAATTCTATTGCACTAAAATATCCATAATTAAATTTAATTTTAAACATATTGTTTATTTTAATTAAATTTAATTGAAAATACATTAATTAATTATTAAAAAAATTGAATTATTTTTTTTTTTGTTTTATTATACAAATTTGAAAATTAATTATTTCGATTTTAATAATAAATTAATTGAATTAAATTCAAAAACACAATTATTTTTTTTTGTTTTTTGGTGTTATGTTCAGTTAATCACTTCAGAAATATTATTTGCCAAATTTTTATTATTTTCTATTTGAATATGTTTTAAAATTATTATGTATTTGAAAATTTGAAATTTATTTCTAGTAAATTTTTTTTTTCAGTGTAGTACAAGCAAAATTTAAATTATAAATTTTATTTTTTCCAAATTATTTAAATCTTAAAGTTTGTATAAAATAATCACATCCTTTTAATATTATTATAATATAAGAAAGCAGAAACTTATTTTAAAATACGATTTCTGATGAAATCAAAATATAAATTAGGAAAATAAGAAGTACAAAATATTAACAAACAAAAAAAAAAAAAAGCAATTTTTCTTACATTCTAAGAAATGACAAACACAAACATCATTTCATCTTCCATTTTATACTTATAAGATATAAAATATGCATTTCTTCCTCTTCTTTTTTTCTAATTTTTAATGCATACATTAGTATAACATGGGAAGAAAAAAAAAAATAAAATAAATGAAAATAGGAGAACATTACAAATTATGTACAAGGATTTGATTTTTCCCTATACTCTTAAAATCTAATAAAATTTTATTTCCTTCTCTTAACTTTACCTATATATAGTTAAATATGTATATATACAACATTATCAACTATATAATAAATATAGATAGTATATTAATAAAATACAGGGTCATATTGTTCAAAATTAACATTATCGAGAATAGATTGGGTACCATTCTAATAAAATTTTATGCTCCTGTAAATTTTAATGTTATTTTAAAAATTTCATTTCATTTGTAATTTTACAATGCGCTTATTTTAAAAGTAAATTAAATTATTCCGAATTAAGTACAATAAGTAAATAAATACGATATGTGTCCATTTATCTAAAATATTTTAATTAAAACAAAAATTTTACTTCATTGAATGAATCATTCATTATTTTCACAATATTTTCATAGAGTTTTAATTAAAAATTCGAAAGTTAGGCTTATTTCAGTAATATAGCTGAAGTTAAAGCAAAGAATGAAGTTAACGTATACTAGAAATACTAAATTTTAACAAATTAGTAATAATATATTCGACTGATCGGTCGAGTTTTAATTGTATTTATTATTTAATTCATAAGAGCATTAATTTCAGTGAATATTACGATTTTATTAGAACAATTTTGAGCATGTTATCGTAATTATATCGTAAATTATAAATATTTATATCGTAATTAATATTATCGTAAATAAATGAAAAATTTATTAAAATTTCATATTTTCATTTTAATTAATTGAGACCCTGTATTTATTTATATTTTATTTCGACTTTAAAAATAAATAAATTTTTACACTTAACAATCAAATATGTGAAAAAAAAACACAATTTTTTTCTCTAATTTTTTTCACATAAGGATTTAAACTATTTCTTACATATACACATAAAGTATACACACATAATTTGCAAAAAAACAGTCATAGTTTAATTTTTTCTTTTTTTCACTGTATTCATTTATCCTTTCTTGAATTTTAATAAATATGTTGTAAATGCAAGAAATATTAGTACCCATATTGTTATTGATATATAACCATTATATACAGATGGTTGTGACATACCCCAACCTTTTTGTAATATTGCACGTAATGATTCTGTTGGTTTTGTTAATGGTAAAAAGAATGATGAAAATTGTAATATCGGATACATTCCTTCAATTGGCCAAATAATACCACATAACATGATCATTGGTAGAAAACTACCCATTGCAACATATGTTGCTGTACGTTCAGTATCAACAGCACATGCAATTACAAAACCAAATGACATACCACATAAACCATTTAATATACATAATAATACAACTAAACCTAAATCACCTTGTATTGTTACCTCAAATACATAAAAACTAAATAATAATACACAAAATATTTGACACAATACTAATGTAAATTGTGTTGTAATTTGTGATACTAATATTTCTGGACCAGTTATACCAGCAACAAGACATCTTTCTAACATACCATCATTACGTTCAATTAACATTGCACCTGATGTTATCGCAACAGATAAAAAAAATATAATTGTTAAAATGACACCTGGTGCTGCAAAATCAGTAAAATTTGGTTCTTTATCACCATATATTGGTGTATTCCAATCAACTGGTACACGTCCCAATCTTGGATTAACATCACAATCAATTAACATAGCTTCAACAAAATCAAAGAACGTGTATTGAATATCACGATATAATAGGGTGCTGATTTGTTGATCTGAAATGAAAAGAAAATATGTTAGAAATTTTTTTTTTCTATGTTTTTTTTTTTTTGTGATTATGTGAGAATAAAACTTATGCATGCATATAATTCATGTACTTGGGTATGTACATGTATATTAAATTGAATTCTTCGTTCACATGTATAAGTGGGTATTAAGGAAGGATGTTAACTCTATTCTTTTTCTAAATAGTACACTAACTATTTGCTTTTTTGATTGATTTATAATTCTTTAAAACTGCAATAATATTTATGTACGTATCTGTGTAGTAAGAAAAAAAAAGTTGAACAATAATAGAGAACTTGAAATAGGAATTTAAGTGTTTCCGTCGTGTTTTTCAATTCCTTTTTACGTATAAGTTAAAAAATTATTGTTGCATTTTTCCTTTAAGAATTTTTCTATTCAAAATTTTATTCAATTCAAATAAGAATTTAAAAAAAAAATTTTTTTTTTGTGTATTTTGAATAAAAAATTAAGTGAATTTTTTTCTTGTTGAAACGTCATCGTTAAGACGATTAAAAAAATTATAGAAATGTGGTTTTAGAATTTTTCTTAAAGGGTTTTAAATTTTATTTTATAAAAAGAGGATAAAAGAGAGCAGGTTCTCCTTTTTTTCCCTTTTTACAAAAAAAGAACCAAATTTTTTTTTTGGAAACTTCAAAGGCATTCATAATTATGTAAGGGAATTGTGATTTATTAAATTTTCATCTGCATGAAAAAAAGGAAATGATGAAAAAATTTCAAAGAAAGTGAGTGAATAGAAAATATAAAAATAATTAATTGCATACTTTTAGGGATATTCTGGTTAAATCGTATGAGTATTACAATGGAGAAAAATTTATTTGATGAAGATATTTTTTATTTTATTTTAAATTTGTTATACAAGAAATAATTAAAATTGTTATACATGAATTAACAAGAATTAATGTTATACTTAAATTTTCTAATTTAATATTATTTGAATTTAAAATATAGAACAAATCATTGTACTCAAATTAAATAAGTAATGAATTGTGAAAATTCGGAATAAAAGCATTCCATTGAACATTTTGAACCGCAGAAGTGAATGTATTAGAAAAACTATACGGTTATTATTAAACTGGTTTTACTCTCACCATTTGATTAAGGAAGAGGGAATGGATTAGAAAAACGATATGGTTGTAAACGATATGATTAAGGAGGAACCCTTAAAAGAATAATTTTCAAATATGGAAAATATGCACCAAAATCTTGATGGAAAAGTATTAACAATTTTTCAATACGTGAACAATTTATTTATAAATTTCTTATAGTTTTTACATGAACAGCAACTGTGTAATACAGTGATTATATCTAGACTTTTATTACACATATTATTACCTTTGGTTGAATAGAATGTATGTAAAATTGTAAACGATTAAAATTGACGTTTTTTTTTATTGTTGTCATTGAATATACGCGTGTAAATTAATTTACAGTAAGAAAGAATGCTTCAAAGAAGCAACGTGTATTATATTACGAGATTAATATCGTGATTTGTAAATTAAATAACTGTAAATAAACGAGTTTTTCTTAAAGGATAATAAAAAACATAAGACTATTTAAATTTATTTTAATTTTTCCATTTTTTTTTTAATTATTCCATATACCAACTACCTTAATTTCTCTTAAGTAGTTTTAACAATTATTACTTATACGAGTACTGTATAACAGTTGCTCTGATTATGTTTAATATGCGGAAAGTTTTATACGTTTTTTTTGTTTTTATGCTTCTATATTTCTCTAACATTTTTATTTTTATGTGTAATTATTTTTAATTCTCAACTCGACTCTTTTTTTAATTTTTTATTTCTTGCCAAAAAATTACGTTAATAGAAGTTTAACGTTTGGGTATTTCTCGATATTGATGGGAAAATTATATAGGGTTTCTAGTTAAAAATCTGTTTTGTAATGATTTTTGATTATCATTTGAATGAGAGTAAATGGTACAATTCCATTTTGTTTTAATTAATTTAATCTATTGGTAATAGTATAAGAGAGAACAGATTATTGAATAATGTTGTAATGTAATTCAAATTTTGATTACTGGCTAGAGTTGTGAATTATTCATTGAGACTATGGAACTTATACGAAAACAAATCTCTTTTAAAGTGGTAGTGGTTCAATATTTATTTGTGTATTTTCTAGCAATTGAAATCATACACAACAACTACTGTTTATGATTTGTAAACAAATAATGATAATACCCTACAATTCCACAAATTAATTGACTGTATAAAAATTTGATTTAGAAAATTATGATTATAGGGAGAAAAATATTTATAAAAAAAACTATGGATAAATCGGGAAAATTCCGTAATATAGTTGTTGCCTATTTTAAGTGTATTCAAATAAGAAGTGAAACTATTTTAAATAAATAAGAAAATCAGGATTAGTTTCAGTTTTCCTCACATACACATTCAATATACATAAACATATAATCATGAACATGTATATGGATGTATCTATGTGCAATATAATATGTGATAAGAAATAAATAAAATACAAGTTACACACAATTGAATAAAAGTGGATTTCCTTTAGGTATACATTGTATTTAATAAAAAAAAAAATAGTAAAAAATAATAAGAAATTAATTTAAATTCAGCTCTAGTAAATTTAAAACTAAGAGTATAATAATAAATTAGTATCTGTATAATAATAGTATCTGTATTTGTTATTCTATATACGTATATAGCTTCAATATTGTAAAAATCTTTAACACTATTTGAAAAAAGATAATAATATATTTGGAAACTTTAAATATACTAGATAGTGCGTATATTTTGATCTCAAAGTATTATTTAAGTTGAATGCTTTTGCGTGCGTGTGTATGCGTATGAAGAGAATTATTTTGGAAAATTGTAAATAAAATTTATAAAATGTTGAAAAACAGGTTTAAATTTTTAAGAAGGAAAATAAAAATGTGGAAAATAAATAGTTCTATAGATGTAATAAATATAAGTAGTTGAATTAAAATATTATGAATAAACTCACATACACATACGTAAATGAAGATTATGGAGGAAGGAGCAAAAATATTACTTTATGTGCCTTCTCATAACTAAACAAGTAACTATGGATGGAAATTTTATGAGTTCGTGTATTTGTTATTATTCTTACAAAATATTATTTTAGTAGAAAGCATTCACTTAAAATTATTCAGTTGGGAACGTTTTGATAAGTTTGCTTTTGAAAGAGGTGGATTAAAAATGAGGAGGAGGAGGAGGAGGATAATATTGTTGGAGTAAAAAGTTTTTAAATGCTTTTGCTTTTATTATTTTTACGTTTATTAATTTAAAATTCTATACTTGCCAAAATTTGGGAACTTATTTTATTAATGTTAAATAGACAGTGGCGGGATTTTTATGTTTTCTTTGTATAAAATGTGTGTAATTAAAAATGAGGGGGCGTACGTAATAATGTAAAATATTTTGAATTTGAATATTTAACATTAATATTGAATTTTTGGTGTTGTAAAGCGAATAATTTAAAAGTTTACACTTAAAAATTGCTCAAAACTGAATGAATGGAAATTTAGAAAATATCGCTTGCATAAATTGTATTCCTGCGACTTTTAAAATTTAATATTTAGTTGAAGTGAAATTAATGTGTTTCTATATTTTAATATAGGAACACCTAATATATATAAAATTTAATTTATTAATTTAATTTATAATCTAGTGAAATTCCTAATTTTATCACGATGACTGTGTAATGTGGAAAATACAAGGAAATCTATAAAATATATGAAACCAGATTGGATTTTATGAATCTAGTAATAAATTCCTTAGAATTTAATGAATGGCCAACTTGTATTATTATTAAATCTTGTATAAATTACCAAATATGGCCGGATAAATTGTAATACCGAGATGAAAACGATAAGAAAGGGCCATGTTTATTATTCAATAAGAATATTTTCAGTTACACATACAATAATGTTAATGTACCGTAGGAGTTGCAATATAATAGCAATAAAATATTTTAATATTCTTAAAGGCATATTTGTTGTTAACAAATTTCTACCATCAATGCTTTCCACCCATTCGCTACTGTTAAAGAAAAAAAACTGTTTTTGTTTTTTTTTTTTAAATAGGATTTTAAAAGGCTTCATAATCGTCTTAACAAATTTTGTTTTTTTTATTTACAAATTGTTTTATGAAATATTTATTATTTATACATAAACTTTCTAAATTTATGCTTATTTAATCTCTACTTACACCTATACACATTATGTCTCAAAACATAATGAGAGTTAAATAGTATATCAATTTATCGAGTATACCTGTGTGGGTACAACATACATATGTATGTACAAGAAACACATAAAGTATTTTCGCATTATGTAGGTGATTACATTCTGCCAGTATACGTATACAATATGTCGTGTAGTAGTGAGGGGGAGGCATCTTTTCGAAAATTTCTTCAAAAAATACACCTACATACATGTATCTGTATCTCATATATGATTGCTTTATATATGAACAAAAATAAGGATTGTTTCATATATAAGAAATTGGATGATAACTGAAGCTTAAAGGATTGAGCAAATATTCATAAAATCTGTTAATTTTTTTTTTCTCTTTCATTTTTCTTAATAAATAAAATGAGAGTATTAAAATTTTAAGATTTTATTAATAAATATGCCAAAAATATTTTTTACTTTTATTTTTATTTTTTATTTTCTTTATTTTGTAAAGGTTTAAGACCTTTAAATTTAATGGATATCAATTTGAATAAACAAAGAGTGTATATAACATTGTACACGATCACCTGGGGAACAAAATTAATTTAAGATTTTCAGATTCAGTTTTACACGAAAACAATATATTTGGGTAAAACAAAAGATGATGTGGAATCTTTATTTTTTTTTTGCTCCTTTCTCTCTTAAAATATTTATGGTATGTGATTTTAAGATGATAAGACACAACTCGTGTTTTATTATCACTAAAGTTGAAATATTTTTCATTGTGTTTTTAAAAAAATTGAAAATTATATGCTTGGTTTTAGCTGTTCTTTAGATGTTTTCTGATTAATATTTTTAATATTATCTAGAAAAATATTGGTTTACATATTTGTTTTCAATTATAATTTAAAAATTTTATAAGAACAAAGGTGTAAAATGGATTGTTTTTTTACTCTTAATAAACCAAACAAAATTAAAATTGAAATTTTCCTTCTATGTAATAAACCACGTTGCAGTTTTCTATTTCATAAAGGATTTTGAGCGAAAATGTTTATTTAATTCTAAAATTATAAATTCTTAATCTTAACTTTCTTATCAAACTTACTCGACATATCTAATCTTATAGCAACTTCTGCTGATTCAATTGTATAATCATCTACAGATCGCCCCGATTCGGTTCTTTCAACTAATGAATCTGAATAATTTTTTGCAAATACAACAACACCCCATGCTCTTCCTCTTCGAACTTCTTCAAAAGCACTATCATCATCTGGGAAATATTTCTACAATAAAAGATATAAAAATTTTTATTTTTTTGATTTTAATCGAAAATATATTAAAGATTTTTACCAGAACCATACTCCGATTTTCTACAAGCATATTTAAAAATCGACAACTTAAATATGTTTGATTACATCCAGGTATTGTTGGACAATATTGATCATTAATCATACTTTCACTTAATTCATGATTTGATATAGCTAATTTTAAACCGGTTGGATCATGTCCAATTGTCATACAAAATAAAATAATTTGCATTACTGGTAATCCTATTATAAATAACATAACACTAAAAATAAAATAAAAAAATTTGAATGAAAAATTTTGTTTTAACGTATTTAATTAAAATATATTAAATTTACCCAGGATTTCTTATCATCCATAAGAAATTTTTCCATGCCAAAGCATATAAATGATTCCATTGCATCACTTTGAAATTATACCAAAATGATGTTGGTATATTATCTGTTTGTAATGGCATTGCTGGTAAATTTTCATTTTCAGATACTTGATCACGAACATGTGATGAAGTTGATACATTATCACCAAATTCACCAGATATTTCACCTATACCATCTTCATCAGTTAAATCTAAAGCTGGATTTGTTACTGCTGTTGGTCTACCAACTTGATCGACAACTTCTTGTACTAATGATGATCTTCTTCTTTTTCCCATATTTTGTGCAATTGCTAATTTTAAAAATACAGTCTCTAATGAATCAGTATTATGTTTACGTAATAGAGCTTCTGGTGTCTCTTCAGCTAACATTCTACCACCACGTAATAAACCAATCTGAAAATATAAAAAATTATAAAATTAAATTTTACTTTTACATATGTAAACAGTTTGATTACATCATTGGTTTTAATTTGATTTCTAAACCCAACTTTTAATTTAAATAAAATTAAATAGATGGGATGAGTTTAACATAATATGGTCATAAAACTGGCCTGTAATAAACAGGTTAGTAAAATACAAATTATTGTCAAATTTTGCGTGTTCAAAATTATTTCTAATGCAAAAATTATGTTATATCAATCGAAAACATAAATGGGTAGATCAAAATGCATGTTTTCTTAGAATTTATATCTTTTATATAAATTTATTGTTGTTTTTATGTTTTGTTTTTGAAACATGAAAATTAAATTAAATTTATTTCATCAATAGAATTTGTAGTCCTTTTTACACTTTAATTTAATTTTGTAAATATAGATGTCAACAATATATTTAATTGAATAATGGATACTTGAGTTATTGAATTTACAAGCATAATAAATTTTCGATTAATGTTTTCTTTTATAAAATTAATTTAATAGCAACTGTTATATTAAAATTTTACTCATATATATATATTATGTTAATTTAACAAACTATTTTAATAGTGTGAATAAATAAATTAACACGAAATAGATACAAATTCAATATTGTTACAAATATGTGAAAATCTTCATTGTATAATTAAAAAGCCATCTATATATATGCGAGTGTATAATTAACTCTAAAAACAAGGATGAAATTTAGAATTTTATGGGTATTTTTTTTTGTAAATAGAATTGAATGACACTACGTATAACAGTAAATTACTTAATAGTAAATTAAGAGTAAATTTTTTTAATCGCCTAAATGTATGCAATTTTTTCACATTAACGATTTTTGCTTAATAATTTATTATATTTTAAACATAGAAATTTTTACTAGTTTTATACCATTATACATTTTATTCCGTGCACGATTGAGCAAAGAATTAGGTATGTTGTATTAGGTTTGAAACAGATTTGCTCTTAAGTTTGACGAAGAATATTACGAAAAATTTTCGGACCGAAAACAAACGAAATTGACAAATACGAAAGTAGAACGAACCAGGAACTGATGGAATTAATTGGCAATGAAGACATTGTTGGATATATAAGGGCCCAAAGACTGCGCTGGACAAGACACTTATTTAGAATGAACTCTGATAGAGCTCCAAAAAGAATTTATGACGTGAGATCCCTACTTAACAGATATTGGGGGGCAGACCAAAGTTAAGATGGAAAGACGATGTTATAAACGATTTAATCAAATACCAAGTTATCAACCTAAATAATGCAGTAACGGACCGAACAGAATGGACGCAGAATTTGAATGAAGCTAAGGCTCACATCGAGCTGTACAACTACTAAAGAAGATGATAGTAAAATCTTGTCTGCGATATACTAGATTCTGCTCTATATAAAATACGTAATATTTAAGAAGTACGGTGAATATGTGAGTAAATATACGTAATATATAAGAAGTACGGTGAATATTTAAGAAGTACGGTGTTCGGTCAATTGCCTTTATATTGGAAAAGGTCATAATTACAATAAGTATTTGGCTTTGTGCTCTGTTTCAACAAAAATATTCGTTTACAATTTATAGTAAGAAATTAATTAAATTTTAAGAAAATATAGTAGTTTAAATTATACTCTAGCTAGACTATTTGGTAATGCAAGTATATTTACAATGCAATAATATTTATGTTTAATTCGATTATAAAAATAAAACTTTAATAAATCACATAATTCTTTAAACGAATTACCTTTTAAAGCTAGAAGAACTTGATCAATTCCATTTTAATAAAAAATAATAAAAATTTCTTGGAAAAGCCTTAAACAGACACAATCTATTGATTTTTAATATTTTTATCTACATATTCTATATTTTGTATATTTAAAAAAAAAAAATATCCTGTGGTTTTCAATTGCCTTTATATTGAAATTTTCTTGCTTTATAATTTTCGAAAAAAAAATTATTTTTTTTTATTTATGTTTTTATATGTGGTATTTTATTTAATAATATTGCATTTAAATATAAAAATTTATAAATATTTTCCAATTGAATAAAGTTTCTTTAATTTTTTTTCTATCTGTTATACACAAATTCAAAGTAAAATAACAAGAAGACACTTGAATTTACCTATATACATGGGTGTATATTGCCCACTTATTTAGTTTAAAAATAAATTTATATTTTTTTTTTTATTTAATAATATTTACCGACCGTATTGTGTAAACAATAGGTAGGTTATGTGATGGCAACAAATTTTGCATATCGAGTTTTCGGTGGGAACGTACTTCTCCATAGTACGGAATTGTAAATAAACTATTTTTAGCAACCTGTCGGTCTGTCGGTCTGTGTGTGTACGCGTGTATCTCAAGTTCGGCTGAACCGATTTTGATGAAATTTTATATGTAAGTTTGTTTGCACCATGGCACGGATCGATCAACTTTTGGTATATATCAGGCCTCGGGAACTGCACTTTTTAGCGGGCCTGTTTTACATTTTTGAACATTTTGAAGAAAATATTCAACCGATTTACTTGAAATTTTATATATAAGCTCAGCTCGACCGTCCGCAAAACTTCGTATGTTTTGGAAGAAATCAGGCATCGGCAACTAGACGTTTACTACGGGCCAAATATACATTTTTGTGTATATAAAGAGAAATAATCAACCGATTTCATTGAAATTTAATATATGAATTCTTCGTGTTAAAACAATGAACATATAAATTTTTTGGAAAGATCAGGGCTCGAAAACGAATTTGCGGGCCGATTTTACATTTTTCACCATATCCACAGAACAAATTGATGGAATTTCTTGAAATTTGATATTTGAGTTCTGGTTGTTACCGAAACTAACTGGCGAGCATTTCAGGGAATTCGGGTAGCACAAAGCGAAACTCTACTAAGAGCCAAATTTACATTTTTCTAAGTATGTTAACTATAAGCTTACTAATGTCCTAAAAATTGGAAAGAAGTATTTAACAGACATTTTTATAATATTCTGTAACACTTTCATTTAACTAGACAATACACAATGCGGTCGGTTATGTGCTGACCACATCAGATGTTTTTATAATTGTATTATAAAATTAAAAATCATATTGATTATTTTAAATTTTCTTAAATTAATTCAAATATCAAAAATCGTATAACAATATAAAATATGATTTAAATTATAAAATACAAAGTCTCCATTTTATTTGTATTTGTATTCAGAATTTTTATTAAATTTAAAAGAATATATGATTGACGGTTTAATAAGGATGAGAAAAAATTATTTTTTGGATTATATTTGGGGGTAAATCTTCGAAACTACTGAAATTTACTTTCATTATTAGTAGAAAAAAATTGGAAAATTTTGTGTTTTTCACTTTAGTATGGAGGCAGTGTTCTAATGGAGCTCTTACGCAGATTATAACAAATTGAGATTCTAAATTAATTTAGTGTGTTAAATTTGTTTAAGTTAATAATATTCTTCTAAGAATTACACTCTTGTTAATACTATAAAATTATAAATCGTACCATGCTTCATTAATCGAATAAATCTATAAATGTACATTTGGCATCCCAGTCTTTGATACAACAATAATATAATATTTGTGTGTATAGTTTACGATATATACACCTTATTTGTTCAACTACAAGAAAATTAAGTTTAAATAAAAAAAAAAAAATTTGAGATAAATTTTCTTAAAGTGTATATGCTTTCATATAAACCTATATACGATAAAACAAAATACATGCTCTTATTTAATATAGAAAATCATGAAACCAATGCTATTAAATATGTATATGTATAGTATGTATGTATATATGCATAGATATGCAATTCTAATTTATGTTTTGTATAATAAATTTGGGTGACTGAATTTGCAAAAGAAAAAATAAATATTCCGAATAAATTGATTTCTTCCTTTTTTTTTTGGCAAAATTTTCTTTATATTTGTATTGCACTCATATATACTTGTAAACCATTATACACACAGAGTATGTACACACAGAGTGCATTATGTGCATTTTGCATAAAGAAAGTTTTTTGTTCATTTATTAAAGTTTTTGTTTTGTTTTTTGTTTATTTTAAAGTTTTTAATATGATTCGAGCTCAAACAAGTGTAAATAACAAGCAGACTATAGAGAAATTGAAAAAAAAAATTGAAAATTATCTATAAATCTCAAAAAAAAAAAAAAAAAGAGAAAAAAAATGGCTTTTAATAAAAAATAAAATTTTTTTTTTCTTTCTTTGTGTTTAATTGAATTTTTTTTTTATTTTTATTTTTCGCCCATTGAAATTTCAAATATTTCTTTCGAAAGGATTTTTAAGAATAAAAGTGGAAAATTTGAAGTATAAAAATGTTTGGTTGTTTTGTTTTTTTATACCACATAAAGAAAAGGTTCTTGATAGTTTGAAATTAAAGTTTTAATTAATGCCTTTAATAAGAAGTGGTGCTATTGTAAAAAAAAAACTGAAATTGCAAAGGTAATTAACATTTCGTGAAAATAGGGTCAGCAAATGATTTTCTTAAAATCCAAAAAAAATAAAAAAAATTAAAAGAGAATTAAATTATAAAGTGTCTAGCCTATGTAGAAAACGACTTGGAATTTCAACTTTTCTTTTGAGAATAAATTTAAGTGCTTCCGTTTTAATAAACATTTGTTGATTCTACTACTGCACTTATTATAAGTACTTATATAACTCTTTCATACCATGCTGAAAGGGATGTAGGTTTTATTATTTTTCTTATAATTTAATTATTTTATAAAGTTTCCGAATCTAAAAATCTAAGTTAAATTTTCATATTGAATTAAAATTTTAATTGTATCATATAGCAGGTTTGAATGCGGCGGGGTCTTGTCGTTTAATTCATTTCTGTAATAATGAGGAATTTGACAACAGTAATAAAGACACAAATAAATTCGATATAGAAAAACCTAAGTGAGATACGAAATCAACGAAATTAATTCACGAAACACTGCAATGCATGATACG